AAAGGCTTAGAAATTTTTGGAAATTTAGTAAGGATTTTACCACTACTTCTTTCAGTTTCTCCTTTTCCCAAGGATCCCCGTGAGTGTATAGACTGTGTATTCGTCCTCCTATGCGATCAACTAGGAACCAGTTCTATATATTAGTATAACCAGGGAGACTATAAGACGTTGTAGATTATCCCTGGTATAACTTCACTCGTCTGCATCCTCGTTGTTCTAGGTGTTAAAAATTGATATTGACTGTCACATTTGCCCTGATATGGCTAGCATTTTTGAAAATACCGTTTTAAGTGTATGTTTTACTTATTATCCTCAGAAGCGCAAATAGTTTTTGACCTGTCACGGTTTGCATAAACACAAATTACATAGACCTATGTTACATCATTGATTAAATAAAAGTTTACCGGACCCACTGACTGACTGGACAGGGTTTATTACATGTCATAAAAGTGAACCCTTGCCATGGAATAATAGGCTTATTGTAGTAGAATACATTCTCTAATTGGTACCCTCTAATTAACACCTGTCACAAGGGATGGACCGTTTGGGTGGTTTATCATTGTGAAATCAACAGTCAACAGACCATGAAATGTTGTTTTAAGACTGTAGGCTAATAGAGAACAACCCGTTTGGGTTTGTGGTCAGAGACGGTGTTATGCAGTTGGTGTATTCACGAAATATCATGAACTTGATAATAGATAATTGGTTATATGGTCTACTCCCATTTGTGAGAACTCCCAGTTGTGAGACTCCCAGTTGTGAGACAGTGGAGTAGGTATTTAGCAAAGAAAACACACCTTACTCCCCTATCTAATAGAATGGATTAACCCCAGCTAATTATGGATTAGCTATTTAACTAATTCTTGTGGAGGTAACTTAATGAAACTCTAAAAGATAAAGTAATTAACCTACTCGAGATAAATGGCTTTAAAAACAAACACTTGGTGTAGGTAACTTCGTGATCATTTGAAAGAGAAATTAATTTACCTACTCAGATTTACGTGTTTGAAAAATCTAGCAATAACTGTTGTAACTATAATTAATCCAAATGTATTTATTAACCTTTGACTGCTCTTTCCGATCACCACTATGGCAGGCCTTCAACAAGTAGAATATATCACCAGTTCAAGATAATCTTTTTCAATATTTCAGCATCTATTGAAAACAATAAATGCTCTTCAACGAACAATGTCTTCTGTGTTAATTAACTCATTAATGAACTATACCTCCTGTGGGTACTCCTCAGCAACAGGGCTGTTCCCACTTTCATCGTAGGGATGGGGAAGCGCCACCTGTGTGCACTGAACCATTAATTAATGTGTCTCACAACTGGGAGTTCTCGCAAATGGGAGGACACCGGTTATATTGTCCACACACGGGCGGACTGAGGCAAAAAGAACCCAAATGAATTCCTTCTTAAAAACTTCATAGTGTAAGTAATTAATTTGGTCATTTACAATAAAAGGTGACTAAATGTTTACTTTTAGATAACGTTAAATAATTTCTAGAGAAATCACTACACAAGTTCATATCACAGATGATTCCAGAGACAAATAGTTTATGAGATTCTAGGTTATGAAAAGCATTAAATTCCAAACAAGCCAATCTGTTCTCTAATGCTCAGGAATTATTACCACTTACACGAAAATAGTTTGAGATGTCGACTCAGGAAGCCGACCTATCGATTTTTATAAGGCTCAGGACGTTGACAAGGAGTACGCTTTGAAGTTTGGGTGTTATTTTAGCAAATGGCTAATCTCATGTGACGTGTTATTACAAGCTGGTGGTTCATGGAAGTGAACACAGCTCACACAGAAGACGACCTTGTAAAAACATAATTAAAACAATCATATGATGAACACATTTAAAAGGGCACTGATCCAGAGCAATTTCCGCGCACTGGTTGTTGCTTTTGTTATTGTTTTTCTCCCCTGAGTACCCTGTTGATATCCCAGTATTTTCAATGGGTTCGTAACCTTTGCTGCACCACCCGCATGCGTAATTGATCGTATAGGTATATATTGATCAACAAAAATGAAATCTTTTTTACTCGATAATATTTCCATCTTCATTTTTATTATAACAAATGAAAACAGTTTGAAGTTTAATCATCTGCCAGTGGTAAAAAACGTCAGGACTGAAAAATAACGAAGTCAATGTATGTCTTTATATTTTGTCTTATAATCCTAATTATTTGATTGCCATATTTGTATACATTTTGAAACTTAATAAAAAGCATACGATCTGCTTATACGTATAGTGTATTTATAACATGACTGTAATATCTAGACATTTTATAGAATGCCGACATGAATCATATTTCACACACGCCCTAGGTATGACCTAGTGTATGTTGTCTGTCTCATCAGGCTACACGGCGAAAACAAATGATTCTGTTGAATGCTACCACAAATGAATAAAAACAAAATGTAAATATTAGAAATAAAACAGACTAAAGTCTGCAACAATGTCAGGTTATTACCTTGTTCGAGGAATGTATCCATCAATATCCACATAGGTTTAGTCCCGATTTTGACAGCCTCAAATTTGACAGTGAAATTTCTCACTTCTGTAATTGATCTAGCCAGTTATCCCAATTTTGACAATGAACTTTGGTACACTTGTCAGCTCTTCTCGTGCCCGTTTTTTTACATTACTGTTATGGATATAGGAACCAATAGAGCTTTGGTCTGGATGTGTATGCTGTTTGTCCCCTCTTCTGACAACAGTCCCATCTGCTGTTGTAGTGACTGAGGCTGTTTTCAGGCACTGACATCTCCATATAATGGTACCATTCCTGTTGGCAGTTCGTCTCAGATACCTATATCCATCCAGCAACAATTCTCCACCTGGTCTCCTACCATCTAACTTTGTACCTTTCTCAGCCATGATGAAATACGATAAGAAAATGTGATGTATATGTGGGCATATATACTTTGCAAGTAATTGGTAAAGCTACTTCTCCCATCCTGCTCATAACGTAACCTTTTTTAAAATATTGCATTCATACATCTCAACGGATAATGCTGCTTCTCGCATCCTTTTCTCTCAGTTGATTGTGGTATTAGTGTTCAAGAATGTTACTTGTTCTGTACTTCTCTCAGGTGATTGCATTACATAACTAACCTTAATTGGTGCAGCTAGTTATCCCAGGTTTGAGAGCGAAACTTCGCGAATCAGTGACCAAGACGGTGTCAAATATGGGACACTACCTCCACATAAAGGAACAATATGCCATTCATCTGCAGCTGACAAAGAATCCTGTTCCATGTCAAGTGTCTTTTAACAGTCTAATATGCGAAAAAGGGATACATCGATTCACTTTTTTTCACATTGGTGTATAATCTCATTGGTCATCAAAGATCGCACACATGGCAACTAATTGCATGATATCCGCCATTCTTTAAAAAGGTAATTTAATTAGCCAATAATGAGCAATCAATCCACTTGTGTTTTTCTTGGCTTGGTCATCTCCTCCCCCACCCTCCCCACCCACCCTTACCATTGTCTTGCTAATTAACATGGTCTGGTGATCCTCTTGAGCCTTAAATAAACAACTTGCCCGACTGGCAAAAGAGGAACACCCCTATCAACTTACTGACGGTTAATATATTGAAGGAAAGATGTTGTTTTTACACAGGTACTTTACGACAGGGTGTAATCTGTATAGATTAGTAAATCTACATACATAAACACTGCCTTTTGACAAATCCCTGTGCAAGATAAAAGTAATTATCAACCAGCGTGTTATCGGTTAATCCTTTGATCGATGTTTGTTTTGTATCTCAGCTGATAATTCGTCTTGCTGCACTTCCATGAGCATATTATATACATGTAATACATTTGTCACATCAGACCTTAATTCATAATGCTGAGTATTTACTCCTGACACAAGAAATGCGAAATGGGAACCTTTGTCGGGTAATCTGAGTAGTATTACCATCATACCTGTTATAAATTCATTAATTGACCATCAAGTGAATGATTACAAATAACATGTGTAGGTTTATACCACCAAACACTGGTTAAAGCAAAGGGGGGTAGTAATCGCTGAATTGCATGCAATGTTAATTGCCTGAAAAAACTTATGGGCCGACACTGTTTGGAGGATACGAACTGAACTTCATTGCTGCATAAGAAATACATGTAAGCATTTGATGTGTACTGAAGTTAAAATTGTATATACCTAAGTAAATTTTCATTTGTCATAAATGTAATATGTAATAGACATCATATGTTTACATTGCATGATTAAATATCGAGGTAACAAAACACAGAAATAAGATCAAATTGGATCAGTCACTATGCCATCTATGCATTAGAAAATCCGAAAACCATACACTGCTGGTATACTTTATTGCAATCAGACAGGAACTACCGGGGGTATTCTCAAATAACCGCATCTGATGAGCATCCACCCTTCCTAATGTCCCGCTGTTTGGGTTGAAGCAATTTTGTCAAGGTGGCCAGAAGCCCAGTCCCTGTGTCCGTCACGGTAGAGGGAGCAGACACCGACAAGCTTGCAGTTTGGTTTGGTAATTAGACTGTTGGCGAGAAACATTAATCGCTCTGGATCAGTTCCCCTCTAATTACATGGGGATATATAATGAGAAGAAACATGAAAGTGTACATTCGATTTAGAAATGGCTAATGCTCAACTTGAACATAAGTTTATTCCTACACCTCGTTGATGCAATATGCCGAAGGCCAAAGACAACCCACGAAGAAGAAATACCGATACCTGGAAGGTCGTCTTCAAGAACTGAGACACCAGTTTCAAAATGGAATGTTAACTGTTAGACAGTTTGCTGATTCAGCGTCTCTTCTTTCACATCTTTAAAATATTTATAATGTACTTATAAATGTGTATGTATATTTAAAATTTTGTAATATTTTGGAACATTTCGTAATATGATGTAATATAAGTATTTATAATTCCTGTAAAATGTAGCATGTTGTAAAATGATTAAATAAAATCTGTCCATATAGTCTCCCGTTACCACTCGTGGCTTACGCCTTCTATGTTTTTCATGTCTTTTATATTTCAATGTATATTTGCTAAGTGAACTGAAACTGAAATCAAACACTATCTTTATACATATATTTGGCTCGTTTTCTCATTAGGTGTGCTCTCATTCGCATAATCCGGAATATCCTCTTCTATCAACACGTAGACCTGTCATTGTCTCTATAATCCAATGTTAATTTGCTAACAGACGGGACATCAACATTTCTCTTAACTCATCCGTTTGGACCAAAGGTCGATAGAGGGGAGTTTCCATGTATATTCTCACGCCATTATCAAGATAAAAGTTACTACAACCAGGTGAATAGAAGTATATATGCATAGTGACAAGCAGCAAATTAACAACAGGTAATTCAGCAAGTAGCACACCGTTGGGGTCAACAGGAGAGTAAGATCAACAAGTCTAAATCCACTCCATTGTCCAAGTAAAGGAATCAATCAACATTCAATCAGCTTGTTTATCCTGAACGTTGTACATCGAAATGCCGCTCTATGCAATAAACAGGGCGTTGTTATCACGTAAGTGGTATGTTTCATTGTGTATCCCCATACTGTTTACTGCAGTATAAGTGAGATCTGTGTCACTTTGCGAATGACCAATCTTTTGAAGTTGATTTAAGTTCTACTTTAGTAAACTGCTACCTAACAGATTGATCTCAAAATAAAACATCTCATTCCAAATTCGTGTTTTCTATTTCAGGTACTAAGAAATACTGAATTTTTACGTATTATATATAAATCTATCGGTACCAGTTTGACGTGTCTGGTCATGAGTTAACTAACATAGTGATTATATATTTTTGACCATTACATGTGTCATTCACACGTCATTTATGCCATTATAATGTTCTCTGATCCATTTCATCATACAGCATTTATTTCATTCAGTGTTTTGAAGCTCCTTTTGAAGAGTGAAATTATTTTTGTTCCTCAAGTGTTCCAACCAATATAGTCATTATGGTTACAAACGGCCTGATTTTAATACCTATCAAGTTAGATGTTATACACGCGTGCATGCACACACACCCACACAAAACATCCGTAATTTGTGAATTCTGTTCGGACGATAAAGAAATATCTAATTTGATAAGAATCACTATATAAATTATCTTCCCTTACTCTCAGAGAAGCATGGCATTATTCGTTCATTTTGTAATAATTTTATCTGCATAAAAGAAGGTATTATCAAAAATGTGAAACAAACTTCCGTATACTACCATTTCACTAACATTGCGATATTGACCATGGAATAATGGTCAATATAATAGTCTAGTCTGTTTTCAATGTCATAATATGTGAGGTTCCTCATTCACACATACATACAAACTGACAGCATAACACAAAACAATATGCAACCAACCCAATGTAATGCAATACAATTTTCACCGCCTGTGCATACCACACTGTTGACGAATCCCTCAGGTGTGTTAGAGCGATAATCACATCGCGACATGATTAAATGTCATATGCAACCAAAAAATCAAACATAATTAAAACACAATTATCACTTATTCATGACATATATAATATACATTGCTGGTTATGAAAAAACATATAATCAAAATTATAAGCGTACAATCGCAAATCAAAAGTGCAATATTGTGTACTTGGGTTTACTTCCCAAGAAACGAAGCAGCCGGGATACCGAACCCAGTCAGAGCGGGTGGGTGTGCACTCAAGTGTAACGGCTGGTTCATTTGCAGATGCCCTCACAGCTCATTGTGTGTGTTTATATAGAGATGTTGGGTTTTGTAAATACATGCTAATTTTTTTTGTATAACATTTTGCAATCAACAGACATCATAACATGTCATGTGTTCAAGTATCACACCTGCCTGTCTGTGTAATTACATAATGTGACAGAGACCGAACTCGGGCCATAAATCAATGCGTTTTGTTTATGGTGTATAGCCTGATTGGTGTTAAGTTCAAATTGCATGTGGTCAGTGATCGCAGTTGTGTATTGAATATTGTCATTAGCAGACAGGCAGGCAGACACACAGGTGTCAATAAAACAAGACATTGAGTTTTGTCTGTGACAACGACATATCTATATCACAGTTAAAAATTCTGTGAACGCTAAATAATGACATTGCTTTTAAGTATCGAATTGAGAAAGTGACTTGGTAAGAAAAGAGCGTGTGGTGAAATAGACAAATGAAATTATATAAACAGTTATTTTACTGTCATAACATATAAAAAGCTCGCGCGCCTGTGAGATATCAACAAAACATTAGGAAAATAGCTCACACCAAAGCCTTCACCGAGTAGTCACCGGACAGCCCGCTTCCAAGTTGCGCGAACCTATTTCACTGCACACGTGCTATGAGTGAGCCCAGCTGCTGAAACCAGCTGGTGAAAATTAGTGAATCGTTTGAACTCCGATTTCACGCGGTTTTCATAGCGTTATTTTTCAACTTTATAAGTTGAATTTGCATTTTTGATGATTTGTTTCAGTAAGTCCATACCGAAAGGTATCTGAATCTGCAAAGTTGTGTTTTACGCTGCATGTGACCTTTAACAAACCTACAGCTCAGCAGATTTTAATAACTTACCTGTTTAATAAGAAAAGAAAGATTTATGGATGTCAACTTCTTTATTGTGAATAACACGAAAAGTTTCGGAGCATGTGCTTGCTCCTTCATCAGGTGAAAATCAGGTCACAGTAATGCATTCCACTTCTTAATGCCCATCAAAGATTTAAAGGTCACATAAACCCTAGGGGGTACAAATACATAAATCACTAACTGGCATCGTTATAAATGAAACCCCGTCATTAAAACTACTCATTTCGACCTTTAATTGACTTAAATCGACCTTTTTGACAACAGTGCACAATTCTCACCCACGAACGAAATTTCAACCAATCAGAGCGGAGCGCCTCTGTGACGTCATATGAGGAATAGCTTTGAGGGCCGATGCAGAATTCATCTACATTTTAGGGGGTAAATTATCGTGTTTACAGGCTTGTATAAACCTGAAATCGTGACAATTGTTGTGGAAAATGAAAGCTATATGTTCTCACAATCTACTGTCATTTAATTTTGTCTCCTGCTTTGCCTAGTTTCTGAGTTACAACTTGTTTTCATAGACGATTCTGTCAAAATGGATTGGTGTCGTTAGGCCCTATTTGTATAATGACTGAACCAAATTGATCCCATTTCTGTGTTGTTTTACCTCGATATTTAATCATGTCATGTAAAAATCTGTTTGTATTCTCAAAACAGTGTCGGCCCATAAGTTTTCACATGCAATACAGCAATTAATACTCCCTCATTGTAACCCGTGTTAGGTGGTATAAACCTACACATGTTATTTGTAATCATTCACTTGATGGTCAGTTAATGAATTTATAATAGTAATATAATTAGTGGTAACACACTTAGATTACCCGACAAAGGTTCCCATTTGGCATTTCTTGTGTCTGGAGTAAATATTCAACATTATAAACATCGATCAAAGGATTAACCGATAACACGCTGATTGATTAATTACTTTTATCTTACACAGCAGAATTGTCAAAAGGTAGTGTTTATGTATGTAGATTTACTAATCTATGCTGAATACACTCTGTCGTGTCGGTGTCTGCGTAAAAACAACGTCCTTCGTTCAAAGGATTAACCGGCAATACATTGATTGATTGCCCATTATTGGCTAACTAAATTACTGTTTTTAAAGAAAGGCGGACATTATGCAATTAGTTGCCAGGTGTGCTATCTTGGGTGACCAATGAGACTATACACCAATACCTGAAAAGATTTATCACTTTTCAGTATATTAAACTGTTAAAAGACACATCATTTGGAACAGTTTTGTGGATATTGATGGATACATTCCTCGAACAAGGTAATGGCCTGATATTGTTCCTATAACTTTAATCTGTTTTAATTTTAATATTTGCATTTTGTTTTATTCATTTGTCGTAGCATTCAACAGAAGCATTGTTTTTCGCCGTGAAGTGTAATGAGACAGACAACATGCACTAGGGTGTGTGTGCAAATTATGATTCACATTGGCAAACTATAAAATGTCTAGATATTACAGTTCTGTTATAAATTCACTATAAGTATCAGCAGATCGTTTGCTTTTTATTTAGTTTCAAAATGCATACAAGTGTGATAATAAACTAATTAGGATTATAAGACCAAATATAAAGACGCGCACACTGACTAGTATCTACATACTGGTGAGTGGACATTAACCATGGGAATGTAGCAAGAAATTTATCGCGCAGTATTGTGACTTCGACCCCCACCTCGCTTCCGTGGAAGAAATCGTTATGTTATAAGTTGTGTCATGCAAAATCCTTTTGGTCATGATTCCAATACATATTTAACAACGAGTAGAAAGTAGTCTTGATTTTCTAACTTGATGAAAACAAACTATAATCTCATTAATTCTAACAGATTTTTTTATTTTTAAAAATGGCGGCGCCCTGTCGGGAACATCCGCCAGTCTGAGGAAAAATCGTATTTAGGTTTGTTTTCACCGAGTTACAAAATCAAAACTACTTTCTACTGGTAGTAAAATATGTATTTTATTGATGGCCAATAGGATTTTGCATGACATAGCGTATATCATAACAATTTCTCTCCTGGCAGCGAGGTGGGTGTCAATATAAATACTACTTACAATATTATTGTTACTCGACCACAACCTCACTTCCGAGGAAGAAATCATTATGTTACAAGTTGTGTCATAGAAAATCTTTATGGTCATCAATCATATGCATATTTTACTACAACTAGTAAGTAGTTTTGATTCTTTAACTTCCGTGAAGCGATCTGAACACAAGTAAGATATCGTTTCAGGCTTCCACAACGCTTCGCCGCACTAACAAACATAACCCATTTAGCACGAACTGCGCGGGTCCTGTGGAAATCTGTGCATGGTGACACCATCGCCCGACCCTAGGAGCAATTGACGACAAAGAAACGATTTGGCATGTCGCCGTTGATGTCGAGAAATCATCAAAATGATGGCGTGCTACACATTTTCTATACAACTAACTGAAAATCGTTCCTCATATGACGTCACTGCAGTGCTCTGGCGACAGAGTTACGTAACCTGTCTGTGGTTTCGTTGGCGGGCGAGAGGGAAGCAGGACACATTTTGGCCACTTTTAATCGCTCGGTATTAATTAACCACAAGTTTTTAAAGAATAAATTTGGTGTTCCGCATAAGACTAACCACAAATCTTTCATATGTAATGGTTAAAAGAGTAACAAAAAACAAAGTTTAGTGGTTCTTTAACTTACTTCCAGAGGCCTCTTAAAGAGCCATAAAAACTTGTCAATTGGTGACTCTTAACTGCCTTGACTCACTCATCAATCAACAAGGGATTAAGGTCCTGGGGCATGCAAATAACAATAATTTACTATCACCCACCAGTTATCTCCCCTTGTGGACATTTCCAAATTGTAAATTTTTGGAAATCTCATATTTCCAAAATTGGAAATGTCTTGGAAACATCATCTTTCCAAAATTGGAAATGTCTTGGAAACATCATCTTTCCAAGACATTTCCAAGCTTGTAAATGTGGACTTTTTTTCCCAGTGAGTCTCCAAAGGAAGAGGTCGCTCGTTTCCGGAGCACAACTTGAAAACTGATCAATATCTTTCTTCAAGACTTGGTAGATATATCAAACATAAGCTAAAGTGGTGCCTTTTGCTATTTAAATTTTTTATGTTTCTTCACCAAACTTGGCACATAGATAGATCTGGTGGTGTACTGGTGCCTTTTGGCAGTTTTGGAATTCTGAATAAAATATTTTTGGCGTTTCCATGGCAACATTTTCGACTTAGACTGAAATTGGTGGTTGTGCTCTTTTCCGGAGCAGAACTCTAAAACCGTTCGCTATTTCTTCACCAAACTTGGCACAAAGATAGATCTGGTGGTGTACTGTTTCCTTTTTGGTAGTTTTGGAATACTGAATAAAATATTTTTGGCATTTCCATGGCAACAATTTCGACTTAGCCTGAAATTAGTGGTAGTGCTCTTTTCCGGAGCTGAACTCTAAAACCGTTCAATGTTTCTTCACCAAACTTGGCACATAGATAGATCTGGTGGTGTACTGGTGCCTTTTGGTAGTTTTGGAATTCTGAATAAAATATTTTTGACGTTTCCATGGCAACAAGTTTGACTTAGCCTGAAATTAGTGGTAGTGCTCTTTTCCGGAGCTGAACTCTAAAACCGTTGACTATTTCTTCACCAAACTTGGCACATAGATTGGTCTGGTGCCTTTTGGTAGTTTTGGAATTCTGAATAAAATATTTTTGGCGTTTCCATGGCAACAAGTTTGACAGCCTGAAATTAGTGGTAGTGCTCTTTTCCAGAGCAGAACTATAAAACCGTTCAATGTTTCTTCACCAAACTTGGCACATACATAGATCTGGTGGTGTACTGGTGCCTTTTGGTAGTTTTGGAATTCTGAATAAAATAGTTTTGGCGTTTCCATGGCAACAAGTTTGACATAGACTGAAATTGGTGATAGTGCTCCTTTCTGGATCAGAACTTTGAAAACCTTTCAATACTCTCCTTCCACTTTTCTATATGCACACCTAAATATTTGACATAATCATAACTCGTAGACATAATCATGAAGAGTATTTTGCCATTGCGGGGGATATTGATGACTTTGTCTTCTTCTTGTGATTTATTGTTTTCTCGGTTTCCATGGAAACGATTTGGACTTAGTCCCAAAAGGGAGGGGTGGGCTTCATTTCCGGTGCACAACACGAAAAGCGTTCAGTATCTTTCAACAGAACTTGGCAGATATATTAGGTAAATGTTGAAATGGTGCCTTTTGCTATTTACAGAATTTTGGCATTTATGTTTCTCATGATTTCCATTAAAATGATTTGGACTTACTTTAAAAAAAAGTCAAGCTGGACTTAAAGGAACTGTCAAATAGGTGGGGGCCGGGGGGATATGTCATCTTCTGATGACTCTTGTTTATAATAAAGTTGGAGTCACAAAAGTGGTGGTTTAACCACAGCGGTTGAATTAAAATGTCGTTGATATCCTCAATATTCACAGAATGGAACCTTACATATTTACTCCATGCCTTTAGAACATCATTCCAGAAGGGGTTTTAAATTTTCAAGTAAAACGGGATATTTGCACCGAAATGGAAGATATAGTCTAACTGAAAACCAGAGAGGTCATATTGTTTCTGTTTAGCGATGTATCTTTTTAGACATGAAATTTTAAGTGATTCAGTGAATGTTTTAATATCAATCATTCTTTAGACCTCTATCTTCATATTTCTGCATAAGATTGGTTCGTTTTATTATCCCACCGGCATGTAATGCGGTGGGATAT